CAAAATTGTTAGTTGATTTTTTATTCTAATTTTATATAATTATTTGCTGAGACCGTAGTATTTTTACAACTATACTAGGTATACTTTATACTGTATTAAGGGCGTGTGCGAGTTGTTCTAATTTCATACTAAACTAAATGGGATTTTCGTTGGGATTTTTTGTACTGCACACATTTAGCAACAAAGTTCAAAAAAGTGTACCACAACTAATATATGTTTCAATATATTTCCAAAAAACAATATTGTTAAGTCAATAAAAAATATACACTATAATAATATTTTATCTAATAAATCTTTTTAATATTAAATAAAAGTAATAAAAATTCCAGAAAATACAAGTATTTTTAAAATTTATAGCAAATGCTTTATTAAATAAATAAAGATACATGAAAAAAATGATCCTTTTTCGGTTAAAAGATTTCTAAAAACGATAATTAATTTTTTTTAATATAAATAAAACAAGTATTTTATATATTTTGATTCACTAAAATTCACTTTTTCATTTATTAAACATCATATGAAAATATTAAAATGACAACCCTGGCGATTTTTCTATTTAGGCCGTGTGCGAGTTCGAGTAAATTGAAGTAAAGTAAATTAAAATTTCCTAGAGATTTCTTGCACTGCACTTATGTAAATATTTATTTATTACACTTATTTATTATTTTTTATTTTTATTTTTTATTTTTATTAAACATCTTATAAAATTGTAGTAATACCTAATTCACCTAATTTTTATCTAATTTACCCTACTCGAAATTCTGGTAAATACCAATATGAACCATCAATTTAATTGAACTCACCACGGCCTTATATTCGATTTAGTCACATTGAAAATATTCTAAATACCAATATTTCACTATATTATCGGCACAATTTAGAATTTCCCTTAATTACAACGCAAATTAGTTCAACTCGCACACAGCCTAAATAGGAAACCATTAAAATCTACAGTAATATTACATTATGGTCTAATAATAACAGGTAGCTATTGCTGATATTATTCCTGTTCTTTTACATCTTCATAGTTCGCTTGCTATTTTTCAGTATATGAAAGATGTTCAGTATTTTCGGTTATATCTTCTTTTTTTTTTTTTTTGCTCTTCTGATTTTAATGTGGTGAACTAGTTTATTTAATGTAGAGTTCTGGTTACGTCGATGTATGTATTGTATGTATAGAAGTGCCATTTCTCCTATTCGTGTCCGTATGAGATACGGATCTATACGGATCTATATGGATCTATACGGATCTATACGGATCTATACGGATCTATACGGTTTCGAGAATTTGTGTTTCAGACTTATTTTTTAGTGGTCATATCTCCGGCTCTGTAAATGAGGGATTCCTAAAGTTGTTTGCATTATAATGATAAAATTATTTTACTCAGGTGAAAGTATTGTAAACAGTTTTTTTTTGTATAAACTTATACAACTACAACAAACTACAACAATGAAAATTAATTTTATATTATTTTAATTAATTGAATTTTTGGCTGACCATACATCTGTTTCGAGTATTGCCAAATACCCATCATCAGTGGTTTTGGAAATAATTCTTGCATTTAATTATTCATAAATAATTTTTTGAGACTGCAAGTACTAAGGATTGAACACGTGCCCTGCCAAATTTGAAGCTCAGACTCAGCGCACCTTAATTAACTGACCTAACGTCGTACTTGACTTCTATGTCCGCACATTTTTCTGGGGCTCTGTTACTTTGCTGTGAAAGTTTTATTAACAAATTCACTTGCTGCGTTTATATTAGAACGAAATCATAAACTAACTGTAGAATAATTGAATTAATTAATTATATTTATTTCCATACTATATATATTCTTTCTTATATATAGAACCTAATCTGGGAACGTAATGCTAAGAAAGTCATGCTAATGTTACTCCGCGAGTCTGACAGGCGAGACCAATATTTTGTGAATATGTATAAGTTGTAATTTAACGTCAAATTTTTCAGACGAAAGTGACTATTATATTTAATAGAAATTTAGTATATTTCATAATGAGGTTTTTCGAACAGTAGTGAACTACAACAACAAAAATTTATATATTTAATTTATAAATTTAACAATTGAGCACCATTTAAAATGTTTCAATTAAACAATTTGTTATAACTACAAAACTGTAGGTGGGCTCTGACTTCGCTTAATATTATTTATATATATATATATATTTATTTAATACTAGATTTAATGGAATTAAGTAGAACTTAATATATTAAATAATAAACAAAAAATAAAAATATGTACATACATAGACACATACATAGATTATGTAGATGCCAGTATGTCGCTTTTAATTTTACTTCCGGCAGCATTCACTGATAACCACAGTCGTGTTTTTTTTACTCACTGGAGCTGTCAGTCAATAAATTTTATACCAAAAAAGTCGGAAATGTAGACATATAAATTTGTTGTTAAATTTGACTGTGAGATGTTTTCTTCTCTGATTTATGATTATTTCCTCTACTGGATCCTTTTTTTTTTTGTTTGTGTATTTATTTTTGATATTTTAAACACTCATCCTTAAGCGGAGTTCAATCATAGCTGCATTGTTCCAGCTAGGATGGCTGATGGCTGCCGGCTGCCGAGGCTGCCGAGGCTGCTGGAGGCTTGTTGAGCAAATCAAGAAATGTTTGCGTGTTGAAATGTTTTAGACAAAATGTTGACAATGTTCTTACGGTGGCACAAGTGCGAAGCCAACGCAGTGCCTCCGTATGGGCGGAAAGGGTGCGAGTTGGGTAGCGATTGTCAGTGGCATGTGTGGTGAAATATGTACGTGTTAATGTGTTCGCTGGAACGTGCCAGAAATTTTTGTGCCTGCTGAATATCGTCCTGTGAAGCAAAAGGAAGTGTGCTGTGAATTGTTATAAATTATTACAGGAATTAAATTAGTCCTTATGCGTTTACTTAATATTTTATTATTTTGTGTTGGATTTTTTATGTTTTTTTTGGTGAATCATATTTTGTATCGACAATTTTTCATATATGTATTTTGTCATACTTAAAATTTAAGATATATATGAAACAATCGAATAAATTGGGACTTGTTTCATTGGTGCTTATAAGAACTCATATGCATATGAGACTTAAAACACAAAAGCAAATCAGAGGTATCTAGGTTAATATCTGTCTTTACAGGGTACTGGATCATAGGACGGCAAGGAGCTAGACTTGACTTGCGCTGCGGTATCTCTTGCCATGCGTATCTACCAGTTCTCGATGAAAAGACAGAAGAAGACTTGATGTGTTTATATTCAGGTTTGGTCAGAACTAGGCTTAGGTTTTTAGGTGTTCCTTTCTTCAGGAACATATTCGGCGATACCTCTAGCATTAGCAGTGACCAGATTCTTGACTTTATAAATACCTCTGTTTGGTTCTAGCTTGTCCTTCTCTCTACTATCCACTATTACGAGGTTTTGTGGAATCAAAACGGCTTTTTTTTTTGCTTATTGAGGAGGACTCGCACCTCCCTCCACCTCAACTAACTATTTAACTGTGAGAACTCACTTTTTCATGCAATCTGAAATAAAAAAGATAGATGTTTCGAATTTAAATATATTTATATTTTAAACAAGAAATTCAAATAATTATCATTATATAAAAATAAATTAAAAATATTTAAGAAGAAATTTGAGAAAGTCTTGACAATTAGTTATCAATTTAGTAAACAGAATATAAAATGTAAATATATATTATTAAATTTTATATATATATATATATATAAATGTATAAATATAAACTGTTATATTAATAGAAACGTCTTAACAAAATCCTTTATTTTGTTGGTTCCTTTTTGTGAATTTTATTCGTTTTTGGGCTTATTTTTGTGGTTCCCCTTTATCTGCACTGCTGCAAAAATTTTAATGCTACCAAATTTAATGCAGTATTTAATTAAGCAAAAAAAAAAACAATGTGTGTAAATATGTGAATACTTCTCTGTATACAATGTATATATTCACTGGTAAAAAATTACTTGGCATTTTAATAAATGTATTCAAAGAAGGAACCAACGCCTTAAAGTTCCTTCTTCCGCATTGTAGCGGCGCGGTGTTCTGCAGGCTTATCGCATTACGTGCCGCAATTGTGTGAATTGCCCTTGTGTTTTTGACTTTGTTTAATTTCTTAATTATTTTGTTAACATTAAAAAGTGAAAAAAAAAAATCGTTAACTTCATTGTTTATACATTTTATCGCTCGGCTAAGCTCTAAGCTTATCAGACCATATACGAGTATTTATACTTTACGGTTGAAGTGTTAATCAATTGCAGTGCAGGGACGTTAAAGTATTAAAAAACACGAAATGCCATTGAAATTAGTTGAAGTTTTAAGCTACCATTAAACTTGCTTATCATGTTCAAATTGAGACTTAAGGAAGGTGCGAAAAAGTTTGTACTTTTGACAAAGTTCTTTAAAAATAACGAAAACAAGATACTAAATTTTGACGCATTATATATATATATATCTATATAGATAGATATAGATATGTACTCAAACTATATATATAAATAAATATATATAATATATATAGGTATATACATGTAGCTCTGAATATTAAAAAGTTAATAAGCAATTTATCGTCAGCATCCTCATGAATGTTAAACTCATCTTTGTCTGTCCTTATCTTGAAATGACATTTTGGAAATCAGCTTCACAAATACAAGTCAATAATTTATTTTAATATTTTTACATTAAATACTATATATAAAATGTAATAAATTTAATTTTAGATACTTACTTTTTATAAAAATATTAGTACTTTTGTTAGAAGTACATCGGTAGTGCTGAGTTCGATAAAGAAATATATTTTAAAAAGATATCACACTGTAAACTTCTAAAAACTAGTATCTAAATTCGGTAAATATTCGTAAGGAGACAGCGGATATTACTAATATAATTTCTATGAACATAAAACGCAATGGATACAATAACCAACAAATGTGATTCAATAATGGATAAAATAAAATAACCATAACTGTACTGATCACTCCTTTTATTTAATAAGATATAATGTGAAACTAATATTCGTATAACGAAATTCACGAATCGAACTGCACTTGATGATTTTAACATACTCTCCTCATGCACAATCCATTTGTACTAAAATATAAGACAATTCATTCATGTCTCATGGTCTACTTCTAAAAAGATAACATCTTAGTTAATCGCAAACAAAGTAAGATGATCGTAAGAGTATTTACTCTAAGAAACGCTTAATTTATTTTAACTTCCTTACATACATAACAGTATACTTTACCAGGACATTACTTGGTGAAGATTACTCTGTGTTTAACTCAGTTTTGAATTTAAATGTTAAATATATATCTTGATATCTACAAGAGTTGCTGAAGTTATAGGTGAAGTTATCTGAAGTTATCTGCAGAACAACGATTTTCGAATGTGCGAAATTGAACTAAAATTTAATTCCTAGTTTTCATCCTTGATCTTAATATCAGGACTTTTCTCCGCCAGGACACCAACGCCAGAAGCTTCTTCCCATTCACCACATTCATTTTTACAGTCTGTTCCCTAGAATAATTATGTTATTACGTATGGCCAAAAAGTAGATACTTAAGCCTATTTGATTACTAATCGAAATAATGATTGCATAAACTTACGGTATCCATTACGGTACTTAAGTTGAAATTTTTGAATAGAGCACTACTTGTTTCCTCTGATGGTGAAGGAGCCGCAACTAGCTTGTCAGACTCTCTCAGACAAAGGTCGTTATCTATTTGATATGGTTGATGTTGCATTTTTTTCAAAAAAGCCTCGGAAAAGAGTTCAGTTTCGACATTTTGTGGTGTTTCAAACACTTCAGGCTTTCTCTCTGTCCAATCTTTATGTATCTTATTTGTATGACATTGTATACTTTTCAAGAACTGCTCCGAAAAAAGCTTGATTTTATTATTTTGAGGTGTTTTTCTATAATTTAGTTAAAGCTTGGTAGTAAAAATAACTATACAATTTTTACGAAAACTTGCAACTTACTGAGCTACTGATTTTTCAGAACCCTTTTCTTCTGTGTATATTTCACCTGACTGGCATTCTATATTGTTCAAAAACTTTTTGGAAAAACAGTCAATTTTAATGTTTTGCAATGCTTTAATTTGGGCTTCTTCAAGTGGCTTCATTTTTCTATATAATAGTTGTAGTTTGATAATATAATCAACTATGAAGTTGTTAAAAATACCAGCAACTTACTTTTTAAGAAAAGCCTTTTCGGATTCCTGTGATGGTGAAAACCTCCCTACTAGCTCGTCAGATACTAATCCCTTTTTATTCATTGTATCTATATATTGTATATTTTTTAAAAAATCTTTTCCAAAATAGTTAACTTCAATATTCTGAAATCCTGTATTTGAAGATTGTATTTGAAACGGTTCTATGTCTCTATAAAATAGTTTAAGTGCGGTGATTTAATTAACTATTTCGTTTTTAGGAACATTTGTAACCTACCGCTTGTATGAAGTCCTCTTTGATTCCAGTAATTGTGAAGTTGTCATTACCTGGTCTGACTTATCACTCTTGGTTTCGGCGATACTCATTTCTTGTACAGTCTTACATAATTCTTTATCATCCGATTCCATATGTCTATAAAGTAGTTTTTGTTTGGTAGTTCAGTTAACTACATTATTGTTAGAAACATTTGCAACTTACATTGACCCGGATTCATTACTGGAGCCCATTGCTGTACCGACCTGACTTGAAATGACCGCTTCTGTAACTTCTTCAATTCCATTGCATTGCATCATCGAATGATAAATTTTATCTATAAAATACAGTAACGCTTTTATATTACTTTCTGAATTCCAAAATAAAATTATGATTTCTAAAAAATATATATTTTAAATTTAAATACAAAAAAAAAATGGCAATTGTGATATGATTGTCTGTATAAATATACTTTACTTTATATTACAAATAAAATAAAATTGTTATGATCATACGTCATACGTTAGTTAAGATTGTTATGTTAATTTATATATATAGATTTATATATATTGATTTCATAGCACCATTTTTTATTGTTGAAGGGTTGGAGGGTTTGTGCAACAAAGTGGCGTTTTTTTAATCGAAATCTACTTTTCGTCTCATTTTCATTTTCGATTGGTAAATCTATATAACACTCGAGATTAATATGTTACATTCGAGAATAATTTATAACACTCTAGATATTTTTCCAGAGTAGCAAGATTTCACTGAAACTCGTATCAGCTGTTTTATATAATTTGACAAATAAAAAAATTGTGATTTGTTTCCACATGTACCCAATTTGTTTGTTTATATATATGAATATAGGGAAAATATGAATAAAATAAAAATAATAACATATCTCGCTGCAAATGCATTGTCACCTCACGACAAATCTTCAGATGAAGTTAGATATTTCAATTTGATGTCATTTGTAGAAAAATAAAAATTGTAGAGTTGAGGATTTTGTCGGAAATGTTGTGTAGAACTACCCAGAAAAAGAAATTAGTGTAAACATTGTAATTAGTTCGATTGGGAAACAAAATTTGACAGATCTAGATTAAATCTAAATTTAATCTAGATTTAACAATCGAAAACGCCGTAAGTGAGAATTAAGTGATATGCTGTTATGTTTGTAGAAAGAAGTCTCGAATTGTTTTAAAAACCAAGCCTTTTTAACAAATTTAACCGTTTAAGCACTTTTTATATTTGATGATGTGTTTATTGTGTTATAACTGCGTTACATTGAACACAATACATTGAAGACTAAATAGAAATCAAATTTCTGGCTTTCGTCAGTCGAATTTGTGCAGAGTCAAAGCAAATGTTCAGTTAGTCAGTATGTAACGTAAGAACTTAAGTCACAACGAAATACACAGGTGTGGTTGGTTGTGCACCTTTGGCTTAGTGGTACGTTCCTACGGTACGTACCGACTAACTGAGTCTTAAGTCTGTCGGTCAATATAGCTGTCTCTACAGTTATAAGGGTACATGTGAACTAATTTACATAAATAAATTTTATAATTATTATTAAATGGATTAATTCAATGTTAATTTTTGATTACTAATACATTACACAAGTATAAAAATTCGTTATTTGATGTATTTCTTCCACTCACCACATTCTCTAGATCCAGTATCCATTCCCGTTTTCAAATTACAATGATAGCAAATGATTTACTAAAAAACTTCAATCATTTCTTATAATTTGAAGGAACCAATAATTAGTGGAATGTTAAACGAATGTTTTGCCTAAAATGAGCCAAAAAGACTAGTTCTGTGTTAACTTTCATTCACAAACCCAATCTTTTTGATCCAAACTTCTTATTGCACAAATCAATCAATCTTTTTGAATTGCTTAGTAATTTAAATGTAAAAAATTTATATATTTAAAATAAAATGTAATATTGACATAAAAATCTTTTGAATAAAATATAATGAAACCAAAAAAGTTTTATATGTCATTTAAATTTAAATTATTATTATTGTTCATAGCATTTAATGTCAAAGTTAAAAAAAAATTTTCTTAATTAATTTCTTATTTTTAAATTTCAGATTGACACGTGATCGAATTCAAACATTCACAGCTAATCTCTAAGCGAATTTCACAATTGTCTGGAAGCATATATTCAAATAGTTGCAAGACTACCGGATCTTTGGTGAGTTCTGACTTAAGTTACATTATTTTATTTGTCAAAAACTTTTGAAAAACCATACATAAAACCTGAAAAGGTTTATATGTAAAACAATATGAAAGAACCTGCCGAACATGCGGTTATTGGGACTGAACTGGGACAAAGTAATCGCGTTACTTTGTGTTTGGTTTCGCAACATAAAATAATATAATAACAGGGATTAAAGGCCAGAAGCTGATAGATTTATTAAACCATCCAAGACATGTTACAACAGACTTCTAGCACTGAGCAGACAGAATAATGAAGTTTTCAAGACATTTTTTAACATATCGACATAATCGTCAATTTCAGGTTAGAGAATATCCAGAAGTCACACAAAGTTATATCATACAAATGACTGATTTATAAGAATAATGAACTTCTTAGATCATGAATTAGTGAGCGATGATTCATGTGACTTTGTATTGTAAATAATTTCTTTCAAATCGAAAAAAACGGTCTGCATTCTCTTAATTTTGCTCTTCTGATATGAGAAGAGTTCTGTTTTTAGGTTCTTTTAAAGAAGTCTATACCTCACTATATATTCACCTTGTATTGAAAACATTATATTTCAGCGTCAATTACAAATGCTGACTGTCTTGACGGTGGACTCCTTGGTTATGGGATCCATTTAATTCATACAAGGACCGCAAAACAACAAAAAGTTGTCTGAACTTTTACTTAAGTTATAATTATCATTCTAACAACTTTTATCCTTAGTATTATGCATGTTTTTTTTGTATTAGCATTTTAAAATAAAACTCAAAAAATAATAAATAAATTTGCTCTATATTATATTCCTCAAAAATAGTTATTTTATATGCTTTTTATTTTTTTCGCACAGAAGTAACTCTTAGAGTTCTGCTTTTTATTTTAAAACGCACAAATAACTGCTACTTTTGCGGTATAAATAGAAAAATCGTGCATAACTGGCACTGACTGCCGAATATATGTAAAACGAAAATATAAAATGCAATTTTCATAAATGTAGTTGTTTTTGTATTTCCATACAAAATGTATTTAAAGGGTGGTTCACGTAAAGAGGTACTTGGTTTTTGTTTCTGTATTGTTTTGTCTAAGTTAATGAACATTTATTTTATTGATCATTATAGAATTTGAAGTTAATTTGCATAAAAAGAAAAAACTAGACTAAATTTTTACCGGCGCCAACTCTTTAATTTACTACAAAAACAACTACTTTGCATGAAAATTGCATGTCATATTTTCTTTTTAAAAATATTCGGCAGAAATTGCCAGTTATTCATGATTTTTATATTTATAATGCAAAAATAACAGTTATTTGTGCGTTTCAAAATAAAAAGCAAAATTTTAAGAGTTACTTCTGCGCGAAAAAAATAGAAGGCACATAAAATAATTATTTTTGCGGAATATAATATAAATTATTATTTTTTGAGTTTTATTTTAGAATGAGAATGAAAGGTGATTTATATTTTCTTTATGATAACTGTTACGGTCACTGATTCATATCGTAAACAAAAATCCTAAGTTTGAAGACTTGATTTTACTTTATTTAAGTAAATTCGTGTCCTTTGTCCATAATTCATATCGTAAACAAAAATCAAAAGTTTGTAGACTTTATAGACTTTTGTAGACTTATTTTAATTTCACTTTAACAATAATTAATATTCTGTGAAATTATTTGAACTCAATGGGCCTATTTATGGGTGGACTTCTTGGTTATGGGGTCCATTTAATTCATATCGTAAACAATAATCACAAGTTTGAAGACTTGATTTCACTTTATTCCATTTAATTCATATCGAAAGCAAAAATCAAAAGTTTGTAGACTTTAAAGACTTTTGTAGACTTATTTTAATTTTACTTTATATAGACGTTACTTTAACAATAATTAATATTCAAGGAAATTATTTGAATTCAATGTGCCTATTTACACTAACATGAAAATGAGATGAACTTGACCACAACATGAACTCTCATGAGCGTAAAATTTGTTTTGTTTTGTGTAAACGTATAAAATGCTTGCGTGTGTAGAGTAGTGTAGAGCACAGAAATTGAGCGTATTCAGCAATAAAAGCTAAACATGCATATAACATTGCATATGTATGCGTGTCAAGCCGAAGAAACGCAGCAAATGACATTGCGTGAAATTCATGTACTCACATCACACTCTTTTCCCTCTCTCATTTATCGGTAACCGATTTTCAAGTGCATGTTCATGAACTTGCACGTGCTTGTTGCTTTTACGACCGGTAGTAGAGGAGAGAATGAGAATGACGTCAGCTTTTTAGATTTTATTTCTGCGCTGCCATCTCGTGTCTTTTCTTAATATTTTGATCATTAATGTGTGTTGCCATATTGTGCCATGCGGTTTAATATTAATCGTGAATATGCATCGCCACAATTATATTTTTAGTATGTCTTCTTTAGTCTTTTTGAATGCCCGTCAGTATGTTTGACGTGAACCGTGTATAGACCTTCCGTTTGCTCTTTTCGGTAATTTAATTTCCTATTTAACGAATATAGTTGACATTGGTTGCTAAACAGAATTTTGCTTCCTTTCTATATGATTTATTTATTACGAGTGGTTTTTGACTTCGATGCTTCTGTTACCGAAGGGGCATCATTGGTTAACTTGCATATTTATAATTTAATATTCACTATTTGTTGTAAGCATCTATCTTTTTTTATGCATACATTATATGAAATGTCATCTCATAGCTTAAAGTCTACCGATTTAGCACAAATTTTGACGATAAAGTGTGCATCTTTTAACATCCATCCTTCACTTGTAGATTTGGATTCCTTAAGCAAAAGAAAGCAGTTTCATTGGATTTGGGACACATTGTCTATTTACACTGAAACAGTTAAATAGGAAATTCCTTCTTAAGTTTTAAATAATTTTCATTTATTTCTTTCTTTCTCAATAACAAATTATATTACAATAATTTTTATTGTATTTTTATTAATTGGTTTTTTGATTTCTATGATTGATTCCGATTGATTTTAATTTGAATGTATCGCATATTGTTTTCAATATGTTTCTGAAAATTAAATTTTTAAATGTTTGCGAACCCTTGAGTATGCCTTGGGTATATTTGCTATCGAACAAAACCTTAATATCGTAGTCCATCGAACTCTTTGCTTTTATTCTCGTATTTATTTAACATTGTAGTATTTTAATAAAAAACAGTTTCATTTAAAATGCTTCCATTATTATTTTTCTTTGATTATACTCGTATGCCCTATTGTTCCTTCCTTTTTTTTTACACAACTGCACCTGGTAGCCATTGGGCTTGTTAAATAACATGTAAAAAGGACCTGTTATCGGATTCACTGACCATGAAATTATACACAAATAATGCTTTACAAAAGTCAATACATGCAACTCATTAAATACGAATTGTCCCGGTCATTTATTACAAATCGAAATCATTTATTTTATGGCCGCATTATTCGCCAACACAAATCCTTAGCACAGCAGATGAGACACAATACAGGACGCGAGGATACAAGTGCCAAGTCGTAGTTGATCAATGCGACTGTTTTTTAGGTAATAAATTTTCCTTCTGATGTTTACATTGAAAGAAATTGATATGTGCCATGGAGATACTTGTAGGCTAATATGCGTACGAGGAAATGTACCGCAACTCGGTAAATGTTCAAGTACCCAAAGAGCTACTCAAAGAAAGGATTGAATTCAATAGCTCTCACATCAAATTAATATTGCTAATTTATTTTAAGAATGAAGTTTGTTCAAAACATATCAGAATGTGTATATCTATACTATATTTGGGCCCTATTTGAATGTACATCACCCTCCAAACTCAATATATTGCCTTTTAAGTGAAGTTAAATAGTTTATCCATGCGTCGTATTGGATTGTTATGTTATGTAGTTTTATGTTTCTCATCCTGGAATATTTCTTCACTTCAAAATGAAATTTTATTGTGGCAGCGGAAAGCTATATTAACGATATCGCATAGCAAGCCTTGGCGGTAAACTTGATGAAATGGATAACGCTGAAGTTATTATTGAAATTTCAAACGAACAATCATAGTATATTAACGGTTGCCAAGTTATTTGCTCGATACAAGCAACTGAAATCAGAGACACATTGGTTTGGAAGTGCAGCCTTGTATAAAATATCCACACCCACAAAAAGTAAACAAAGTACAAAAAGACAATTTATAAATAAATAAGATAGCGATGCAGATGATGAAAAGAACCACATATGATATACGTCAATGATATTAAGAATGGGTAGGAGTTTTTCACAAAAAAAAATTACTTACTGTTGTACATACTATAAATAGTTAATATAGCTAATTCCTACTTTATTAATTTAAATGAAAGTACATATCACTTTTTTAGGGGTATAGAATAAATTGAACAGCAGGTTATTTAAATATTCTTCTAAAAAAATATTAGCTATTCCCAAAATTGTGTGAAATCTACAAATAATATACTGCAAAATATGTTTATTATGTGTACTCAAACTTTATTTTAGATTGACCTGCTGAAACATATTAGGGGTGTTCACACTGTCTTGCAAAGTCATTGCAAGGTGCACGACATACAAGAATACTATACTAAAATTGCAAAATTGCGAGAACACTTCCTTTGCAGAAATGCAAGATCAAAATGAAACGGCTTGAAGCAGATGTCAAAACAGCTGTTTCCATTGCAAGTAATTGCAAGAAACTTTGTGCGTGTATTTTGTCGTCCATTGCAAGCTCGCGCAATGTGTACATTTCGTGCACCTTGCAATGAATTTGCAAATCAGAATGTATACTTTTATTAATTCTTTTTTAAACCTCTTCTCTAAGTTAGTAATATAGTTGTCTGGAACAAAAATTCAATAAATTTAAAAAACTATAAGATACTCGGTCGGTTTATAATTTCTTTCATAAATGTTATAATAGTATACTAAGCACATAGACCACCTTCAGTTGTAGTTGTAATTTTTAGTTACATATGTAGACTATATATAAAATCATTGGTACCAGTTGAAATCTGTTAAAAGTTCAATTTTGAGTAATAATTATTTAAAGATAAATAAACTTAAAGATAACTAAACTTGATACGTAATAGAATCCTAAAAGCGCTTATAGATTTCCTTCTCATTATATGGCGTTTATATTGACCACAAATGACTCATTTCTAATCAGTCATTTGAAAGTGTATACATTCGTTGCTATTCATTATTTCTCATCTCAAACAGCTGTTTTGCCAACGTGTCTGTTTATATGATTTTTGGTCTATGTCAATAACATGTTGAATGAAGGTAAAATATACCATCAAATCATACAATATAAACTGACAACTTATTTTTAGTTTCCATTAAGTACTTTTTGGGAAGTAGGAGTTCTAAAAAGAGTTGCATCGTTTTCAAGAAAATGCAACCACCAAATATTTGTTTACCTTTTTTTGTAAATATGTCAAATACAGATTACTTAAACTATCAACATGCTATGAAAATTTTTTATATAGGTTATGTTCAAGATTTTATACACAGAAATCAGTCATTTGCTTCTCATTTGTGATTTTTCACCAAATCAGTAATTTAAGGCCAGTGTAAATGCCATATTAAGCAGTTTTGTTTTAGAACATTTGTAGTGACAAACTTTGTTTTAGGAACATTTTAAATCATAACGATACGGTAACGCTGACACGAATAAGAAAAAAGAAACGTCAAATATTTCTTTCAATTAAAAATTCTTTCTGTTCCTGTACGTCGACGTGGAAGCTTGAGCGCATTGGATATTTTATAATTTGGTGAGACGAACTAAGATAGAAATTAGTTATAATAGACAATTTCGTGATAATATGTTTATACACTTATCGTTTTAAGGATAATAGTGTGTTTACATCTACAATTACTTGATTTGCATAAATTTGTACGGACTTTGTACGCTTTAATACAGTTTGTTTGCCAGACAATAATTACTGCGTATTTGGTTGGTTAATTGGAAGGTGAAGAATTTAAAATTTTTTTGACTTAAATGTCAAAATAAAATAACTTTGAAAAAATTTTATATTTTATTACAGAAAAAATATTTTCCTGCATCAGTTAATTTCACATTTTTGCGCAAGAAAACTACAACTCGTATTGACATACCAGAACTAACGGAATAACAAATTTTAATATCAATTTTATTACTGGATTATTACTGGCTTTTTACTAGATTATTACTGGATTTGTGCAAAACTGTAAGTACTGAAGTTAAACATATCTCAAAAGTAGAAATAAAATGTTTAGACTATTGAGTTGTGCGAAATATATATTTTTTTGGTCTATTTGAAAATGGACTTTGAATGTTAGTGTAATTAACAGCAGGCGTGTCTTTAATATATGGTACCGTTTGAAACTTGTATGGTCGTAAGCCAAGTTCTTTGCGTAAAATTCTTCGCAGCTTCAATCGATTTATTAAAATTGTCTTCGACTCTGGACTCGATAGGTGCGATAGTTGATTGTCTTGACTGTTGCTTAATTGCAAAAAGATCCTACTCAGAGCACAGATTTTATAAATAATTTTTAAAATTTGCAAATAGTGCCACTAAAAACTAAAAATCTATAATGCAGACACCACCGTATCGCTATTAAAAATTGGGGAAAATTAAAAATTGGGTAAAACCTTAGAGGTGCATAACTAGGGGGACTTAAAAATATTATTCTGAATATATATTCTTCTAAAAAATAGCATTTGTACTGATATATCTGTTTTCAATAAAATAACTTGGAAAAAAAATAGATGTATTATTACCAGGTTAATCGGCAATGTAATTTCTAATTAATTTCTGTCTGGGCCATAGTCATTTCATAAAATAATTGAGACATTTTAACCAATACCCAATATTTAGATTTTGTTTCTATTCGACCATATTTTAAAATTACTTAAAATAGAATAGTTGTAATTGATGTGGTTTCTCATAAAATCTCCTCCGTAGAACATACGGACATGGGGCATAAAGAACATATTATTGTCAGACAAAAATATAAAAATATATGTTTTGTGTTTTTCTTTAGATTGAAGGCATTAGCCAATATGTTGAGCGCACGGCCATTTTTTGTTACTGATAACAACAGTATCAGCATTGTTCCTAGACTTTCTAGTATAACCAAAAAGCCAGTCCAAGAAGATATTCAAATAATATATGAGTAAGTACAATTTTTTTTTATAATTATCTTTCATTACTGTATTGATTATTTAGTCATTTTTGTCTAACATTTTTGAATTAGTTTTGTGAATTTTACTTTGGATTTCCTTTGCATTATTCCACATTACTACTTAGATATTCTGTTCCTAGAGGTGCCAAAAGAAGCAAAACCTCTTTGTAGATTTGTATTATTAATTGGATTCACTTTTGCGAATCTCTTAGAAATTTTTTTAAGGTGTCTATTTTCAAGATGTTATTCAATTTCTTAAATTCATATATATAATACATTATTATATTATATATTATATATTATATATAATATCTTATTTATTATATAT